CAGGCCGAGCAATAACTCAGGTCAGCGGCGGCACAGCTACTCTCCCCCTTCTCGCCGGGGGTCGTGCAGCTCCTCAGAAGAGCAGGCCCGTCTCCCAGCATCAAACCGCCGCCGGCGGCACCGGTCTCGGGAATGGCCAGAAGATAAACCCCCCAGTTACCGCTCATTAGAAATCATCCCAGGTCAGGAAAAGAAGCACAAAGGCAACACGGGGCCACGCTCGGTGAGTCAGCTGCCCTTTTGCTTTCCCACCTAAGGGAAGAGGTGGGTTTTGGGGCCTGAGAATGAATGGTTGTTACTTTCTGTAGCCTTGTTGTCTTTCAGCCGGAGGGCAAAGAGCCCTCCAAGGTGCCCGGCATAGCCTGGTTATGAAGAGGCTGCTGAGTTCCCTGCCTTCAGGCATGTGTTGCGTGGCCATAGTGCGTGCAGGGGCAAAGCCAGCAGTCAAATAAAATAGGTTCCCTGTCACGTCCCACACTGGGTGGTTACACCCTCTCACCCCTGTCCCTACCTAGAGGCATTTGGGGCTGTATGTATGTGTTGGTGTTAGCATGGCTGTTCTCCTGGCACCGCATGGGGAGAAAGCACTTCCAGAGTACCAAGTATCCCACTGCAACCCTCTCTGGTGTTGCTTTACTTCTGATTTCTTTTAACATGTGCATGATCCTCCTATTATCCGTCTCCAACTTTTAATTTTTATAGTATATTGGTGATATTTCTAAGATGGTTCATAAGGGAAAGCATCCAGGTAAGATGCCTGAAGCTACATAAAATAGGCTTTAAGATCATGGGTGGCTCTGGTTAAGAAATGTGTGATCCTCCAGGCCAGGTGGAAGAGGATGGCACGCTTGTTGGGACTCCTGAGAACCGAACATGCATTATAATGTCAGCGAGCAGCTTGCTCACGGCTCAGTTTACACTGGGACAGGATTTCAGGTAGCAGCCTAAGTGTGAAAAGCTTCATATCCAATTGCTAGTCTCCAAGTTAGATATAGTGTATTCCCCCTTAAAAAAATGAAGATTTTTTAAAATGACAAAATGTTTGGTGTCCCTTGTCACATATCTGCAGAATTTTACCAGGTGGGAGCCTTCTCAAAGGGCTGTATGGTGCATATTATTGTTTTCCCTTGCATGTTTTGGAAGGAAGTGCAGTTCTAGTCCCAGCTGGGATGTGTGTGTGTATGAATGGTTTTGTTACGCTGCTCAGAGCAGGTAAGAAGACACACAATTTCCATTCATCCTTCCTTGTTCCTGAATCTTTTATTTTCTCTTGCAGGACAGAGGAAGTTCCCACAGTGGAAGAAGCATAGTAATTTAATGCCGGTACTGCAAGAACTAAGATTCCCACTGGACTCCTCTTAGCTTTTCTACTGTGTAGGTTGGGATGGCTGCTTTGATTGAACTGACAACCAGCAAAAAAACAGATGAAGCAGTCTTCCCCGTAGACTTGTAACTCTGAAGAATTGGTTTAGTGTCTATGAAAGCGATACATCATCCCTTTTTATTCTCGTGGTCCACTGAAGACATTCTGTTGGAAACAGCAGATTTGATTTTTTTAGTAAATGGTGTATTCACAGTCTTTAAAGAGAGATACCAGTTGTCTTTGTTAGGTGCCCTGGCACTGCAAGGAGCCCAGTCCGTAGAATGCTGGTCCTTTGCACAGCAGGTACTGGGGAATGGCTTCAATAACCACAGAGTCGTAAAGTCACAGGAGAGTAGAATAATTTAGGCTGGAAGAGGCCTCTGGAGGTCACCTGATCTGGTCTCCTGGGAGTTCGTATGTAGGGAGGCACAGCATCTCCTTTCGAAGGCCCTCTGTTGTGCTTCACAATGTGTGACGTTTGCTGCTTCTGCCTGGTTGCTCAGCATAGTTGGGGCAGTTGCTTCCTCTTGTCCCTGGTGAGCCCCTCTCCCAGACAGAAGGATCACAGCGTTGGAAGGATGTTTGGCTGCCTTAATAAGGGCTCACTAGCACATCTGCAAATTGTCACCTCATCCACTCTATGCTGACTGAAACAACCTGCCCTACTTTATGCTTAGACCCTAGTGCCTTAGAAATTACTCGTTCTAACCTTTAACCCGGACCTGAGTTTATTTGTAAACTTAAAGGACTAAATTTACCAAAGTTTGGTCAGCCCTACAGAGTCTGAGCAAGGTGTGACTACTCACCCTCACACTGTGCACCAGAATTTTTTCAACTCTAGGAATCATGAGTTTGGTGGGTATATCTTTCCTAAGCCACGTACTCTTTTCCATGCCTTTTGTATTCTCCTTTTTCTCTCTATGCCATGTATCCTATAAGTGGGATGGGATAAAGGGCTCTGAAGAAGTCTTACAGTCACCATTTTTACTGTTGTCCTTGATCCTTACCCTGACTTTTATACCAGACCTGCACATGGGGTGCATCTGGTCTGTGCCTACACTGCAGGGTTTTCTCATCTCGTCCCTTGCAATTAGAAGACAGAATTTCTGTACTGTCTCCTTTCACCACTGAGGCCAGTGGTGAAGGAGAACAACTTGCCCTTTCTCCTGGATGTGATTCATCCACTGGTTTCATTTAAAATGTGCTGGAAAAAGAGAGCTGTTCTGGATGCTGGCTGCTTCCATGGGAAACTGGCTTGCCAAAGGCACTTCTCGGATTCAAGAGACCCAACGGTTGGCAGGGAGCTTTCGGAACTTGGTGTGAATTATTTTGTTACTCAGAGGCACTAGAGATTAGCCAGCGTCAGTTACTGTTGCCCAGCTTATTTCCCAGTCAGTGCTGCACAGGACACTTACTACTGTTTGTACTTTAATGTCCCAGTTACTGATTTGCTCATGCTTTCCCCTGGAAGACTGACTTGGAGAGGCTTTCACTTTCCCACTTTTCTTTCTTTTTCTTTTCTGTGAACAATGATGGGAATGATTGGAGCAAATATTCCTAGCTGGATATCCAATGCAGTTGCTGGCCATCCAAAGGCTACTACAGGCAGTGCTCATTTCCCTGCAGTTTCTTGGGGCTGACAGTGCTTATTTCTAATTCCCTAGTATGGAAATGAAGTAGGTGGACCCATTAGATTGACTTTGTTTCAGAACCAGAGGCCTGCTTTTTGAAGACAGGGGGGCTGTCTGCCAGGAGTTGATGGCTAGCACAAAACACAGCTAAAAGACCCGCTCTGAAGTTTGAGTTCAAGAAAGGAAGGCTGCATTAAGCATAGTCCTTGTCTGCATTTGACCCAAACTGTGAATAACGTGAACTGACCCATGAGTTACATCTGGAATACAGGGAATTAAGTGTGTTCACAGAACTTGCAAAGCTAGTATCACTCTCGAATCTGGTTCTCAGTCACTGGCTATGAATAATTTTTATTCTTATTTAATGACATGCTGAGGGGTTTATGCATTCCCTCTTCTATGATGGGCTAGTATTTTTTTAGTTAAGAGGAGTTTACGGTGACTGCAATGACAGAAAATAATATGGGGCTCCTTCTTGCAAAACCAGCATCCAGTTTTGACTTTAGCATTGCCCTCTGGCAGCTAGTAGCAGATATACCCAGAGGTCTCTAGATTCTCCACTTGGAAGCTGAATTAGTGGCTTGGAATTTGACTCTCTCCTTATGCTTCCAATAGGCCCATACATCACGTGAGACAACTTCTTCCTGTCATCTCAACCCAGCCCAAATGTCCGGGTTTCAGGGAAGGGCTGTGCCTTTCTCTGTCAAGAGCAGAGGCTATTGAGACACCACTTCAGATCCCAAGATGGGCAAGAGTTCA